CTTATAAAAATATATTTGAAGAATTCAAAATATTCCTAGAATTCTTATTATTCTTAGAATTTTTAGAATTTTTAGTTCGATATTAATTATATGAGTCAAAGATTCTATGCTCTGCATATTATTTTGATTTTCTTAAGAAAAATAAATAAATAAAATTAATATGAATTTAAAAAATACAAAATTAAATGTATGTTATAATAAAACATTACAATGAGTATTTTATCTTGCGAAATTAACAAAGTACCAGTTGAGACTATACTAGATACTACTAGCAATTGTAATCTTATAGGCAGGGGTTTAGTAGATATATTAGGCTTAGAGATTGATACTTCCTATAAAGAAGAGACAAAACTATTAATTCATTATCCATCCGAAAAATCATCAAATAATTTAACTATAGAAGATAGCATAATAATACTAGGAAAAATCCATAAAATAAATCCTTCTTTCCGATCCAAAAACAATAAATGGAAACAAGTGGAGGTTAACGATATTTTAGTTCCTAATAAACCTGAATTTGCACATGTATTGTTATTAGGTTCACCATGGATTCAGGCAAATATGACAGAAATAAATTTCTCTAATCATATTCTCACATTGCTTGATGGAACTGATATATTATTGGATATTTCACAAGAGTTTCCGCCACCAAAACAAATATCCATACCAGTAAAAGAATATTATAAGATGGTGAAATATTATATAACAACATTGGGTATAAATAATAATGAAATATATCTTAAGAAACACTTTCTCCGTGGGTTGTCTTATAATAACCGGTTAGAAGCCAGAAGATATAAAACGGATTTGTCATTAGATGAGCTGGTTGCAAAGTTAAGTGTAGTTGAGAATAACAGAAAAAATAAATGATATTTGCTCCTAAAAATTAATTAGAAATATCTCGTCTTTTATTATATCTCAATATTTTATGCTATATGTTCTTCAACTAAAGATTCGATTTCTGGTTTAAGTTTAACTAACATAGCTCTTTTTTCTGCATCTATATGTGGAATATTTCTATTAATCATATCTTTATATGCATTAATTCTCCAATGACCATATGGCAAGCTCGAGATTTTATCAGA